TAAGATTTTTATTATTTTAAGACTAATATTACCTATAATTTATTAATTATTTTTAATTGTTGTTTTCTATATTAAGTACTGATTGAGTTAAAGACCAAGATTTTAATATTTTAAGATTAGACCTAGTGCAAATAATTATATACAATTGGTACATAATTATTCACTAATCAACAGATTAGTGAATAATTATGTACCATTTGTTGATTTCTGTAATAAGTCAGTAAGACCAAGATTTTAATATTATAAGACTGATTTTTCTAGTGCGAATAATTATATACAATTGTTGGTTGGTGGATAATTATGTACCATTTGTTGATTTTTATAATAATTACTGATTTTTTATTCCATGACCAAGATTTTAATATTATAAGACTGATTTTACTAGTGCGAATAATTATATACAATTGTTGATTGGTGGATAATTATGTAACATTTGTTGATTTTTATAATAATTACTGATTTTTTATTCCATGACCAAGATTTTAATATTATAAGACTGATTTTCCTAGGGCGAATAATTACCTATATACAATTGTTGATTAGTGAATAATTATGTACCTTTTTTATTTTAATAATATAAAATTACAAATAATAAATGTGTTTTTTTTACTTAAGGTATGAAGAGCAATTTTTCATTTTGTGTTGTGCGATTTTCTTTCTCAATCTCAAAATCACTTAGCAACATCAGCATCATATGAAACCCCCATTGTCATAAGAGCGTGACTTTTCTTCTGTGATTCACTTGGCCTACGCCTCGCCATAAAATATTTTGAATCGATTTTGAAATCGATACACAACGTGCGACACGGCTACATCTCTAAGAAAGTTTCAAAAAGAAAGTTCAGCTACGCCGTTGTCGTCCAGTCGTGACAGTGACGTCATCACGATGGAGAGTAGTGTTGTGGTTTACTACTATTTTATTGTTATTGTTTGTTTTTTATTTATGTACAAAGTATATATATAAAAAGAGTGGAAGACAGCACAAGATTAAATAAAACATACCCGATTATAAAGAGTCATTTATTGTATAAAAAACCAACAAAAAACCAGTTATTTAGTGTTATCGATATATCAACTCTTGGCAGCACTGTTTTTTTCGTAGGTATTTTTGTTTACTTTTCGCTTTGGCGTACAGGACACGGTAGTGAGTTTTTGGCGTGGCGCTCAAAAGGTTAAAGTACATCACCTTCAAGAGTGATCTTAAATAATATTGTCTCTGGTTTCTATAAACATCGCGTAAAATCTTACGGTACATCACGAAAAATGTGTTATTTTTCATATTTCAATTTATGGTAAGTAATACAGCAATTCATTTAATAACAGTTTAATATTTAAAAAAAATTGAAGCAATATAATCACCATATTGAGCTTTTGCAAATTCATCCGTTTAAAATAAACAAAACGCGCGTTACGTCAGTGTTCTAAAAGAAACGTGACAATGGCAGCCAGAGATGCGTCACTTTTTTGGGCCGGTCTGCATGCACCGAATAAAAATAAAGTTCTTATATAATATTGAAAATAAATTTTTATCTTTTGAATAAGTACGTACTTATTTGGTGTCGTTATCACTCGAATATTTATGTGTTATAAATTAATGCTTTTTGTTGTTAAATGAATAAAGTACTTTATAACAATAGATGATTTTTCTTATACAGCGAACTTTTACACAACTCTTAATAATAGTTAACCATTTAACTGTCCCATGAGTCATATATGAACATTTCGATTGTTTAACTATTGTGTCTATTTCGCGGACAGGGAAGTTGTTAATAAATATATATTATCATTCATTATAAAAAAATAATCAAAAAAATCATGATAAATAAAGAAAGTACTACATATAAAAAGTGCCTATATATTGTAGGTTTGTAGCCCCTGGTTAAACGACCAAAAGGTTATTGTCCGTTTTTCTCAATCAATTTGGCACGTACTATATTCCACCAAATACTCACAAGTAACTTTTTCTGAGTCAATTTTCGTTTAGGGCAAGATTTGGCTGGGTCTCCAGGGTTCAACCATTGCGACGAGCGCTTCCGATTATCGTATAGTATCCACTTTTCATCACAAGTAATCATCATCATCATCATCATCATCATCATCAGCCTGCGGCAGTCCACTGCTGGACATAGGCCTCTCCCAAGGCGCTACTTAGCCCGATCTTTGGCTACACGCATCCAGTTTCTACCAGCCACCTTGCGCAGATCGTCGCTCCATCTGGTCTGTGGGCGTCCCACACTCCGTTTGCCTCGACGCGGTCTCCACTCCATAACACGTCTACTCCACCGGTTGTCACCTCTGCGACAGACATGACCAGCCCATTGCCACTTCAGCTTACAAACACGGAAAGCTATGTCAGTAACCTTGGTTCTCCGGCGGATTTCTTCGTTTCGAATTTTGTCTACCAGAGAAACTCCGAGCATAGCTCTTTCCATTGCTCGCTGAGCGACTTTAAGCTTTTGGAGCAGACGTATCGTCAGTGTCCACGTTTCGGCACCATAACTGAGTACGGGCAGAACGCACTGGTTGAAGACTTTTGTCTTCAGACTTTGCGGTATGGACGACGTGAAAACCCGACGGAGCTTTCTAAATGCTGCCCAGCCCAGCTGAATCCTCCGATCGGCTTCCTTCTCGAAGTTATTCTTACCTAGTTACAATATCTGCCCGAGGTAGGTATATTCCTGGACAAGTTCGAGAATTTCACCATCAACAGTAATTGGAACTGGCATGACGTAATCGTTGAATATAACTTTTGTCTTGTTCAGATTCATGCACAGACCAACACGTTGGGAGGATTCATTTAGTCTGTTCAGCATATCCTGAAGTTCCTGCAGCGATTCTGCCATGACGACGATATCATCAGCAAAGCGTAAGTGTGAGATGTACTCACCGTTTACGTTAATACCGCGTCCTTTCCAGTCTAACGTCTTAAAAACATCTTCCAGTGCATTTGTAAACAGTGAGGATATAACATCCCCCTATCTCACTCCGTGATGCAACTGGATTGGTTTTGTTTGACTGTCCCGTACTTGGACGGACATCGTACTGGTGTTGTAAAGGCATCTCAATACTTCGATGTACCGCCAGTCAATTTCCAAGTTTCAATGGAGTCAAAGGCTTTCTCATAGTCCACAAATGCAAGACACAGGGGCTGATTATACTCTGTTGTCTTCTGTATTATTTGCCGCACTGTGTGAATGTGGTGTATAGTGCCAAATCCTCCTCGAAATCCAGCCTGTTCCGTAGGCTGAAAGTCGTCGAGTCTTTGCGCGAGTCGATTTGTGATGACCCTCGAAAACAACTTATAGGCGTGGCTCAAAAGCGAGATGGGTCGGTAATTTTTTAGCATAGTTTTGTCACCTTTCTTGTGAAACAAGACTGTAATGCTTCTGCTCCACGCCTTTGGAGTTCTCCTATCTCGTAAGATGCAGTTAAAAACTCGACAGAGCTCTTATAGCAAGGGTTGACACCTAGCTTTTAAGAGCTCTGTTGTAACTCCATCTTCTCCAGGAGCTTTTCCATTTTTAAGTTGACCGAGGGCCAGCTCAATCTCCCCAAGGCAGATGTCTGGCAGCTCGTCGTTATAGTGGCGGGTCAGCGTGGCTCTGGGGTCATCGCATTTAGGGTCGGGTTGAGGCTTATAGTTTGCCATAATAGTGTTCGATCTCAGAGAGAACCTCAGGCTTTGACGTGAGGACTTTGCCATCATGCGTCTGGAGTTTTGTGATGTGACTTCTTCCAAGCTCCCGAACAAAGAGTTTGGATCCCTTGTTTCGCTTTATTGCCGCTTGTATAGCAACTGCATTAGAGCGACGCAGGTCCCGCCTCACAGCTTTCCTCACAAGCTTGGTTAGTGTCACCTGTTCCGATGGTGATGCTGTTGTTAACTCACGCCTTCTTTTCATAAGCTGAAGTGTCGCATCTGAGAACTTCGACTTTCGGCCCGTATGTTGCTTGCCACAAAACTTGTTGCCGTAAGATCTTAATCACGCTGTTAAAGTCCTCGTCAATATCCAAAGTGGGTCTCAGAGCATCGAATCGATTTTTAAGTTCTAGATGGAAGCGTTGGGAGCCAGTTACGGTTTGAAGCAGATTTGGTCGAATCGTAGACTTCACCAATCGGGACCTTTCAAGCGTAAAATCGATATTCGGAGTGCCTCGAACAAGTCGGTGATCGCTTCCTGTATTGAATTTGTCGATCACTGAGACGTCTCTGAATATGTGCCTTTTCTCCGTCATGATGAAGTCAATCTCATTTTTTGTAGTATTATCGGGACTACGCCAGGTCCACTACTTCCTTTGTAGCTTCTTCGCGAAAAACGTATTCATCAGAAATAGCCCCTCTTTCTCGAGGAAGTTGACCAGCATTTGCCCCCCTGTGATTCCTGCTTCCAAAACCGTGGTGTCCCAAAATCGATTCGACGCCCGTGTGTTTACCCACTTTGGCATTAAAATCCCCCATAACAACATTGTAGTGGGCCTTTGTGGTGTTACGTAAGGCACTAGAAATGTCTTCATAGACAGTTTCTACTTCGTCATCCGAATGTGCCGAGGTCGGGGCATAAACTTGTACGATCTTCAGAGAGTATCTCTTTGTTAACTTAAGTACAAGGTGCGCTACCCGTGTCGACACACTTGAGATTTCTACAATGTTGTTAGTGAGGATCCCGGCTGTAGATTGACTTGAGATTTCTACAATGTTGTTGATGCATTGTAGTACAATAATATATTGTACGAGGACATTTCTTACAGTATGTAACTACTTTTATAGTTTTATTCGGAGTGACTTGACCCATGATTTTTAGCATTTTCTTTGTAGCAACCGACGCAGAAACGTCTCAATTAAGCAACTCGGTCCCTCTTTTTTCAGCAACTCGTGTTTCATTCTTTTAGGTCTCTCCTGCTGCTGTTCACAATTTTCTTTATCGACTCCTGAATCCACAAGATACGCGACTAACTGACGCCTGAATTGCACTATACCCTGATTAGTGTTTTTGTTCACTTTATACATAATCGGCTGTGTTTAAAATAAGCTCAATGGCCAGCTTTTTGTACCACTTCACAGTTTTTCTGAGTGGTGATGAGTATGAAGTCATTTGATCACTCATATCGACTGAACTTTTTGCTTCATTGTAGGCAAGTATAATTTTTGGTTTTTTAATAGCTCTACCTTTCTTTAGAGCCGTTCGTTTTCCATTTGAGTGTTTCTTCGAAAGCACTAAGACGTCGCGCTTATTATTCCATTTGAGAACAGTTATACCCCGTTGATTCTCCATAGCTATGGATTCGCCTTTTTCCAGTTTGGCTTCGACTACTGCCATTGGCAAATCCCTTCTATTCTTTCTAATTGTTCCAATTAGATGGGTGTCGTGGTTCAGTAGTTGATTTGCCAAGTCCAAATTGGTATACCAATTGTCGGTGGCAATTGTATAACCCAAATTTCATATGTCATCACAGAGAGACATTACAACATTTGTAGGTGTTGTGTTAACCATTTCATTATTTTTACCAGCATATAGTTGTAACTTACAGGTGTATCCCGGGAGGGTACAATACTGGCGGAAAATTATGCGCCCTCTAAATACTACTCGGCTTTCATCGACACATACGGTTTCATTTGGGGCGTACAATTTTTAAAAATTTTCGATCAAAGCATTGATGAGGGGTCGAATTTTAAAAATTCTGTCGGATTTGTCCGCTGTCTCATTATCAGTGAAGTGAATCATTCTCAAAAGCAATTCAAATCGGTTCCTGCTCATAACAGTGGCTGGAAAATGTTGCCCGAACACCCTGTCTTTACTCCAGTATAAATTTATTTGAGGAAGTTTCACCAGTCCCATGTACAGGATTAACCCAAATAATTGTTTAATCTCATCTTTTGATGTCGGTTTCCACTCATTTGCTCGAGACTTAGGTTTTAAGGTTTTTGATAGCGATTGCTGTGCAAACAAATTTGTTTCGTTTGCAATCGTCTCAAAAAGACTGTCTGGGACCAAAAAATTGAAATATTCTCCTGCTGCACTATTTTTCAATTCTCTCGCATATGGTTGCTTCATACCTGTAAGCAAGAAATAAATAATATGAGGGACAATTTCCCGCAAGCCAACTGGCCCCAAAATAAAATTATCGCGAGATAATCACAGACAGACATACATACAGGTCAAACTGAAAACCTTTTTTTAAAGTCGGTTAAAAAAGTACTTAGCACTTACCAGTTGGTTTCCTGAATGCTATAACGGATGGTTGATGTCCTCGTGGTCGTGTCCATTTTTGTACTGAATTAGATGTTTTTTCTATACGAGCAATTTGATTAGAGATATGATTTTCAACTGACCCCGATTCACTTTCGGAGCACACGGAGTACACGACGGTAACGTTTTTTTGTTGGTAGGATAGCATCGTTACTAATTTCTTCCTCGGAAAAATTGCGTATCTCACTAAAAATACTAGATTCTAGTGCTTCAATATGTTGTAAGTCTTCTTGGTAAATATCTAAGTCAAAGTCTAGATCGGATATATCCATTTCAGTAAATAAAAACGTTCACAGACACCAACTCAACCGTTCGGCGCAAGCGCTTACAGACGACTGAGGTGTGGGGGTGACCGGAGGCGTGCCCTATCCGGCGCCTCCAAAACGAATATTCACTTTTAAGTATTACAGCGCCGTGTAGGTCAATAATGACCTCACGAAGTTTTGTTAAAATATCTACGGAATCCAGTTGCAGACCAAAACAATTCATATATAAAAATGTATATTTTGACCTAACGCTTATATTTCCACCTAAAAGTTTTTTGTGATTTTCGTCTTTTATACTACCGGCAGAGAACGTGTTAACCCTACAATATGCCATCTTATATTTTCCAGCTCAGCTTCCAGTTCATAAATGTGTCCGTCTTGCCGCAGAGTCCGTCCATTATACGTCGCCAAGTCCAGTTTTTGGTGGTAACCTGTCCTCTCCCGGGGATTCTTCGCACCCCCTGCCCCACCGTTGCCATGGCCGTCACCATGGCCAGGAATAATGGGGCGACCGTGAACTGGGGGCCGTATTTTTGCTACTCATAGGTGGATTTGCCCTTAATCGCCACGCTGGGCAAGCGGGTTGGCGATCGCAGTGCCAGACACATCGCACCTGTGACGCTGCTGCCGATCACTGGTCTGGGCATTTTTGGTCTGACGAATTTTTCTCATCATCTTCATCATCACAAGTAATGATTCGATTAAATCCCTTCATTTTTGTGTCGGTTGAGCAAAGTAACACAGCAGTCTACGCGTGTTTGCAAGATCGATTCACTCAATTCATGAGGTACCCATCGTTTAAGTTTTTTTACTTTCCCGATTTGCTTCAAGTGGATTAATACAGTTTTATCACTTACCCCGAAGTCTGCAGCTATCTCTGAAGTGCTTTGTGATGGATCCGCTTCTACAGTAGCCTTTAATTCTTCATTTTCCACTTTGGTCTCCGGCCGTCCACGGGGTTGGTTCTGAAGGTCGAAATTTCCAGAACGAAAACGTTGAAACCAAAAACGTACCGTGCTTTCTTTAGCGACACCAGCGCCGTACCTATTTCCTTTGTACGGTAATAAGCGACGCCAAAGAAAAAACTAATGAGGAAATAACAAATGAAGGACTGTTTTCAAAACTCAAATGTACCAGCTAAATGAATTTATAAATTTGAATTTGGAACTCTTAACCAAAGAGGAGATATTTCAGATCAAAGTGGTCAGTACGATAAAACGCTAATTTCATATGTAAGGACCCAATAGTAATTCTTTGTTGGCAACATTTTCTAATTCTTTGTATACTACATCTACTCTGTGCGACTGTAAACAATGTTTTATTTAATTTAATGTATTTGTAACACATATTGAAGGTATATAAATTTACCTTTCTGCACTCTTGTATATAAACTTTAAATACTTATGCTAAATCTCATACATGTGCGCAATATACTTAAAAACTGGTACAAAACTTAACCTTCTTATATCAATTTAAAGATATTATAGAGACAAGAGCCCTTCGGAAATGTTTGTTCTAGATTTAAGAATATTTTAAATAAATTAGGCTTAACATAATATTAAGCTTTCTAAAATAATAAATGATTTTTTTATTTTATCTATTCTTTATTAGCCGGTTACAGTTCACAATTGAACTTCTCAAATATTTGTAGATTTGCAATAATTGCCGCGGTAGCAGAAAAATAAAATACTATGTCTTAAATAACATTAATATTTATTCAAAAATAATTTACAAAATTATCTGTCTCGTGTACTCCCATACAAAGATGGCGGCGGTGACGTGAACGTTTAAAGACCTAACAACGCCCTGTTGAGGAATCTCAACGCAATAATCCATTAGAGGTAGAAGATCACATGGAACACCTTCCTTCTCATGCCTGTAATAAAATATTTCTCTTAAAATTCTTGCCTCATACTTTATTAAACCTACTATAAGCAAAGGCGTCTATCTATACTACTAAACAGGCTCTGTGGCCTTAAAATATTGCGCACTAAGTTACAGCAAACTCTTCGTAACTCATTTAGTCGACTGTGAGCGGGCGAGAAGACTAATTCTTTGTTTTGTAAACCGCGAACATTGCTTTCGACAAACTAACACGAATTTTGTTTAATGTGACTAAGAGAACGCTGTTATTATCCATGTGCGCACTTTGTCTATGTGATTTGGAGTAAAATACTGATGAGTATATAACTTTATTCAAGCAGAAAATCGAAGCCATTTTTACTGGAAACCAGACATTCCATCTTAGTCCTCACAAGTGACAACGCATCTGCATTGTGATCCTTAATCGAGGAAAGATGTAATGTCCATGGGCCACAGCAACCACTTACCACCAGATGGACTGTATACTCGTCTGTAACCCTTATTCTATAAAAAAACGAGACGGTTGTACCGCCATCTACTGGAGGTAATAAGATTTTCTGGGAAGTTTTCTAAGTTGCCTCATAGGGAGTGATGGATTCCCACAACTCTGCGGCAGTATTTCATGATAGAGGCACACAGTTTTTATTTTATACACATGCATATTACAACTATTAACGGACGCACACATTGTTGGAGTCACACGAAAGTTACGATCCAAGAGATCCGTCGGTCTGAGCAAGTTTAGAATGACTCGGCAAAGCCTAGGGCAAGAATGGAATTACAGCAGAGCTTCTGAAAATGGGTGCAAAACCGGCACTCGAGGCTCTTCGGAAGCTCTCAATTCCATGGTAAAGCAAAAACGCCTTGTTCTTCAAGAACAATACAAGGCGACAACGCTATAGTATGTACTAGAGTTCGGTTTACCTTCTAAGCCGCATCTACCTGTTTCGAAGGTCATTACGAATAGTCTCCCATACAAAATTGACGACTTTCAGCCTTCTGAATAAGCCAGTAGCATAGGCTTTATTAACATAGACTACTACACATACATGTTTAGGCAAATTGTAAAAAAAAAACTTCTGTCTCAGAAAACAATATACTATAAATTTGTAGTTTTGCCTATGTGGACTATGCGAAAGCCTTTGGTCCGTCAAAATTTGGACGACGCTACTGTCCTTTCAACAATTCTACTAACGGTATATTGACGTGCAGAAGTGTTTTGTATAGTACGATTACAATGGCTACCCCGAGTACAGAACTAGATTATGGAACCTATTCAAATGCAGAGAGGGTAAAAAGAGGTGTAGATCAAAGTAATACTGCATTGGAAGACATTTTCAAGCTACTGGACTAGAAAGGATACGGTATCAACATCAATGGCGAGTAAATACAAAAACAGTCCTGCACCAAGTGCTTCCACTGACTAACATGTTTCATCAGGTCGTCACTCCACGTAGTGGGGGATCGCTCACTACTGCCAGTACGAGGCTGCCACTCGAGACTCATTCTTCCCTACAGTTATCGGGTCTTCGGGCTATATGATTACATAAAAACTAAATATCTAAAAGTGGGTGTAAAATAAATAAATATATACCCGAGTAACAGCAGCGTTTTCTTCGGGAACTTAAACGTTTGAAGCTGACAACTGGTAGAGGTCTGTTCCGCGGCCACGACTGAATAGCCTTCACTTTTCTTCTCCATAAGGTATTCCTTAAGTTTGTTTGGGCGCACCTCCTCCACATCTATCCAACGTTCTGCTGACACACTGAAATAATTCATATTTTTGCAGTTTACACTTTAAGAATGTTTGACCTTGTATTTGCGTATATTACGGTACACTAATTAGATGGAAAGCGAAATAGTGTTAACAAAAAATGACCAAGTATAACGGGTAGAGCCCCGCTGCAGCTATGTAATGGTTGTAGCACGAATGGATTGTCTCGACCGGGGTAGGATCACGCTTTCATAGAATACGAGCGTAAAATGTAGCTTAATACTGCTGTTTTGTATAGTGAGTGCAGAAAACCGGAGATCCTTTTTACTGAAAACAAGGCATTCCATCATAGTCCTCAGATAAATGTATATGTCTATGGGCCACAGCATGCACTTGACTGAGTGCTCACTTGTCAACCTTATTCTATAAAAAAAAGTTACCAGTAAAATAAATTTCCAGATCTGAATACTCACTACATGAAACACTGCGGTATTATGATTTTAATATTACGCTGATTTTCTGTGAGAGCGTGGTCCTTATACAGTCAACAAAATTAGTAGTGTCTATAATAATTCCAGATTTCGTCAACCTTCACTCCACCTTCGTCTATTCTCAATATTTCTTTGTACAACATTGTGTCTCACTCAAAAATTTTGACTCCAACACCTTTCCCAGTCGAGCCAACTAATTCCTGCTGTATAAGGGAGTCCGAACATTTACCGACGCAAAATCGGCTTTATCCGGTCAGAAAAACCTTTGTCTACGAAATGTGGGTGTTGCTAAAGGCATTCTCATCGGCTCGGCTCAGCTCGGACATTGGCCGACAACAAAACGAGCGGTTGGCCGATTAGCTGATAGCTAGATAGTACGGCGCTGAAAGTAGCATAACGTCCACGTTGACGTGTTTGAATTTTCGATGGCAGCTGAACGGCGAGAAGACGGCCGAACGACGTTGAACAACAGTCGAATAAAAAACGATGAGTCTACTGCCGAACGAATGCGAACAACCGTCGCGACGGCCGTTCGGAGAAGTCGAATGCCGAACGTAAGAGAACAGCCAACTCGACGGACGTGCTGGGGAATCAACTGCTGAATGCAAGTGAACAGCCGTCGCGACAGCATTTCAAAGAAATCGATTGCCGATCGCTTGCGAATAGCCGTAGCAATAGCTGATCGGCGTTAAGCCGAGTAGTGTGCTGGTACGCACTCGGCTTAAGACGATTCCGCGTCGATAAATGTTGGGCTTCCCTAATACAGCAGCAGCACGATCTACCATACACTTAAAAGTTAATAATAGACTTGTGTTATAATAACCTTCTAAGCAGTATCAGGTGCGTGCAATAAGAGCGTAAGTAAAACTATCAGCACAGTATCATCACGCGAATGTCGTAAAAAGATTTTTCTGCCTCGTCTTATTTTATGGCAATTTAACCTCCCCTTTGACTCTTACCTTCACAACCTATTAAAAGTCCACTGTTGAACATAGACCTTCCCCATAGATTCTCAAAATTGCCATAGCTGCCACACTTGGCAAATGGGTTGGCAACCTCAATTTTTATTTTTATTCAGCTGTCTTCAAGAAGATGTTGTTTTTTGTTTCAGTTTTCCCCTGTCGCCTCTTACGACCCCCATGAGATAGTGGACCCCCATGAATTAGTGGCCCCCATGAGATAGTGGACCCCCATGAGATAGTGGACATCCTGACACCACCACTACATGCTTAAGGCCCTTTAACGCTTAACTTGAACGTAAAAACGAGATTTGTTACAGCGATGGGCAATTCAATTACATAACTTAGTGATTACGTCAAATGCTTACAACGGAAGAGACCTAAGTCTAGTAGACAGTTATGGAATAAAGAAGGCATAAAACTATAATTGCTGTTTTTGCTAACCTTAAACCCTGGAATTGCTTGTCTTGTAAGTGCCGCAGACTGTCAACAACGTAAGTCCTAACGCCGAAAACCTCGCTAGTTCTGGCCAAGCCCCCCAGATTTGGCAGCTTGTCGATCAAGGACGCCACAACTATAAGCTCACCCCTATTAATTTTCTGTTAAAATATTAAAAGTAGTTAAATATATATAGCTGTTCTTGTAAGTGCAACTGGCAAGGCTAGCCAAGTTGACATTCTACAATCGACAAAGCTAATAGAAGTTCATAAAAGTGAATGAAATCAACGATTAGTCACCGGAATCTCATGTGATTTAATGTCGAGATGTGTCATTCCTATTAATTTTTATAGTTAACTAGACCATCACCCCGTGGGTGTCGTAAGACACCACAGAGGGAAGCCACCTTTTTATTTATTAGTGTTTAAAATCATAAATGGGTTTACTCAGTAATTTAGGCTTTAATGTTATTTACGGTGCATGCGTGTTGCGTGGTATGATGACCTACGGAACCGAGACGTGGTCCTTCACTGCTGGCCGTATGAGGAAGTTCAAAGTCGCTCAGCGATCTATGAAGGGGGCTATGCTCGGGGTTTCTCTGCTTGATAAACTTAGAAATGAGGATATCTGCAGTAGAACCAGGGTGACCGACATAGCCCAACGGATTAGTAAGCTGAAGTGGCAATGGGCCGGCCATATAGCTCGAAGAACCGACAACCGTTGGGGAAAAAGGTTCTCGAATGGCAGCCTCGTACCGGTAGGCGAAGTGTAGAGCGACCCCCCACTAGATGGAGTGACGACCTAGTAAGACATGCAGGAAGTCGATGGATGCAGGTGGCTCAGGACCGTGCTTTGTGGCATACCTTGGAGGAGGCCTATGTTTAGCAATGGACTTGATGATGATGATGACGACGGTGCATACTTATTAGTCACCGTGTAGTGGCGGTGTAACAATATCCACTAGCATATCATCCCGTGGGTGTCGTAAAAAGCGACAGAGGGAAGCAAATTAGGAGATGAACAGCAGTGTCTTTCTAATGACAAACTGAAAAAGCTGCGGTCCACAACCCGCTTGACAAGCGTGGCAACTATGGCAAATATATCTATGAGGCAATCTGTGGGAGAGGGGCCTAAGTTCAGCAGTGGCCTTTAATAGGCTGCAATGGTAACAGTTTTTAATTGTAAAACGTAACTTGACTAGCTTCGATGGTAAAGATGGCTAACCTTGATGGTACAGGTTGCTAACCTCGATGGTACAGGTGACTAACCTCGATGGTACAGATGGCTAACCTTGACCTATGCAGTAGTCTATTTGATTTTATTTGCTGAAGAACAAAGACGCGGGATGAAGCCGGTGAATATTTCCTTTACGCTATTAGTCTGTCAGCTTAACACCGTCATCGATTGGTTACTCATTATATCATTCGCTTGCTTCACATTTGCTGGGAATTGGAAAATATTCATAATATGCAAACTAGCCCCCACTTACTACCTCGGGAAGTTGATAAGGCAAATTAAACGTTAGTTGTTTACATCATAGACAAAGACTTAACTCTTAAATCTGTGATGATAATCATCATCATCATTCTCATTCTGTAAAATTTCGTTATAGGCTGGAATCGCCTTAATCGCCAGGCTTGGCGGATGGATTGACAATCGCCAGTACCAGACATATTGCTCCCTTTAATTGTTTTCTTTTTATTTGTTTCCCAGTCTAGGTTTGCCACATTTGCCAGTTTTCCTTTTTATTACACAGGTGTTTTACCGTTTCTTCGAATTAATTTCTCGATAATTTGAGCTATATGAAGAACCCATTGACCCTGCAGCCTACCGATCCATTAGGCTATGCATTACACTAAGGATATCCTCTTGTTGCGGACGTGTACGTTACTATCCTCTTGTTGCCTTTTAAGGCAGAGACACTACGAGCACTGAGTGACTTTGTGCTTTGTCAGAGGCTGTGAAAGACTACGCCCTTGTTCCGTAAGATACATACAATTAGCAAGCCCGTGTTTAGCTAATTGTGAAAGAGGTCCATGCCTATGTATTCGAAGATATGTAGGTACCTTCACGATATATAATGTCACCGTTAAGTTAAAATTAGAATTAACAAATGATAATTATGATTCTTCTCACCGATCTTCAGTCACGACAAGTTCCGAAAAATCGGAGCTTATTAACTGCGCGGAATATTATAGTGCTAAAAGTAACGCAAACAGAGGCACCCATTCGTCTAATACCTCGTTTTAGTTGGGAGGACTCTTCTGCTTAGGATTCCGTCGGGGTAGGTGTCCCATTACGTGCTAACACCACCAAGCACCGGTGCGTGAACTGCTGTGTTCCGGTCTAGAGGGTAAGGCATTCCATCCCAGTCCTCAGATGTGACAATGCATCCGTAGCCTCCTTTATTTGAAGTTGGTTGCCGGTGCCCATGGGCTACAGTAGTCACCATTAAGTGGACTGTAAGTACCTTTGTAATTTCATTTTGATAAAAATATATCCGTGAATGAGATGGAAAATTAAGTCTGCAGTGTCCATTGTAGTGGTGGCGAAAGGGAATTTTGCACAACACTATTAGCTCGATAAACAAACCAAACCATTTGCATAAATGGTGGATCCAACAGGTGATCGTCTGTTAGAAATATTTTGTATCGCCATCAGTGATCAGGCCCAAATTACGACGACGCAACGCTCCACTTTAATCAGTTTTAACATATCCTATCAACGTTTGATACATAGTTTTAAAACAAGAAATTCAGATATCAGAGAGAGACGAATGTAACAGTAACCGAGCGTTTGGCAGCCCTGTATTTTGTACCTCGCACGACACATGTATCTATAAGGTGTAAAACTGATGCATCTGATGAGCCGTGTGGTGGCGGCATAAGAGAATTCAATACCACATGTGTCAACCCATGGGTGTCGTAAGAGACGACAGAAGCAAATAAAATAAGACAACAGGACAGGAGTGACAACGTATTGCTAATAACAAATCAAATTATAAAAAAATTGCGGTTGCCAACTCGCCTGCCAAATATGGTATTTATGGCAAAATACCTCTTATGAGGTAATATATGGGTGTGGCTTATGTTCAGCAGTCTCTTATAGGACTAGCAGACTTTTATAGACTGTAACGGATGGGTGATGGATGGATGCACGGTATGATGGGAAGAACTTTTTTTTAAATTACCTTATCTTTAACCTCATATATATTTATATCAGTCATATTCTTCCAGGGAACATATTTCTTTTGCAATGTTCCCCTCAATTTCTCCTCGTCAATAACTTCTTTAACATCCGTTATAAATACATCATGAATGTTGTCGTGAATCTTTTGATATTTAGTCCATTCGGTCTTAAAAACGCTAGTGGAAACTTTCGCAAATGAGTTGTCATCTATATCTTGAAGAATATTTTTTATGAAAGCCTTATCTAGTTTCTCATTTATATACATATCGCAATATCTTGGTAGGAAATAATATATGAAACTCGGTATGAAATCAATGACTAAATCGAAATCGTTCGCGAAATAGTCATTTTGCAATTTCATAAACCCTTTGTCACCGGTTCCTTCGCTAAAAGTTTTTCGTATTACTTCAATCATAAAATCGTATTTCTTTGATTTAGATTCATTTAATTCATAGAGTTTTGTAGCCAGGTATTGCGCGTGTAATCTTAAGCTAAATATTTGACCCATCGTACAAAAAAGCAAAGTATCCATAACAAATTCATATTCCTCGTTCTTCAAAGGTCCATGTTTGATCTTAAATTTCATAATCCAGTACAATATTAGAAACTGCGATGTTAGTGGAACATTTTTCGACTTAATTTGCTGGACCATTTCTTCCGTTATTTTCACTTCCTGAAAAATAAATTTAGTGGTACTTATTCTAAAACGAAATTTTACAGTTTCATCAAAAAAACATGATTGCAGTAAAAGTAAAACCTTCAGAAAATTGCGGGCACAATTGCTTTGTAATAGCGTAAAATCTATTTCACTCTATACATAATGTCATTTTATCAAATAAAAATTGATTGACTCTCAAGGTGGTTCATAAAATACACGCTAGATGGCCTTAATACGACTAATTTAATATAAATCGGTAAGTTATGAAATCATGGATTAATGAATGGACTGGTTAAGATAATTTTATTCAATATGGTTAACTTTATTACAATTCTGTTACCTTAAAACAAAAATAAAGGGCTATGTACCACTCTAGACAAACTCTGACACTTGGTTGATGAGGATTGGAGCCCAGCAAATCCAAACACCAATTCGCAGTTCTATCCATATTGACATCTCTAGACTTCAGTAATATTAGAAGCAAATTTTGCATTGCTGTTAATAATGTTCTATGGGATTGGGAATTTCCATGGTATCGTTTTTTATTCGCAAATATCTCATTGACCTTATTTGTAATGAAAGATATTATTGTATTCATAACTTCTGGATTATCAATCTTACTTAAAACACAATATGACAAATATTGTATATGGAAATTGAAATGGACATCAAGGCTGAAACAGATTAGACATTAATACAGATATTATGATCATTATAGGAGAATGGAAATAATTTAAGGTTCATGCAATCCTTCTGTTCTACTTCATAATATATCATTATCGAGCGTGTGTGTGTGTGTGTGTGTGTGTATGTGTGTGTGCGTGTGTGCGTGCGTGCGTGCGTGTGTGCGTGTGCGTGTTTGTGTATGTGTGCGCGTGTGTGCGCGTGCGTGCGTGTGTGTGCGCGTACGTGCGTGCGTGTGTGCGTGTGTGCGCGTGTGTGCGCGTGCGTGCGTGCGTGTGTGATAAAAGATAAAGGCAAAAAAAAGCCCTTATGAAGGTCCAATTACTGCTAGTTTTGGTGTTTTTCATTTCCAATTACTAGGCGCAATGCTGATCAACTCGTAACCAAAATCAACAGATCAGAAATGAACAGATCACAATTCACCTACGAACTTTTATGGGGCTTGCTTGACTATATATACTTTTAGCAGAATTCAAATATAAGTGGAGATTCACAATTCGACTATACAGTCTGTAGGTTTTTACAGGGTGGATCATGTACGAGTATTAGTTTATATCAAAACTAGATTTTCCGCGCAAACACAAGCTTGAGCGATGGAATCAAATTTCGTGAACGCACTACGCGGCAAACGTCCAGATACCATCAACACCATCTGGATGCTTGGCGGTCGACCACTGTACGTTTTAGAAGGAGTTTTCTTCCGCGTACGACATCTCTGTGTAAAAAGTTTACCACCGGCGATTTTTCCAGACCGATACGATCTGGGGACCTTCAAGAAAAGAGCTTACTCCTTTCTAAAGGGCCGGCAACGCACCTGCAATTCCCATGGTGTTGCGCTTGATCATGGGCGGCGGTAGTCACTTAACATCAGGTGAGCCGCATGCTCGTATGCCCCCTCTTCTATAAAAAGAAGTCTATTGAAGTCAAGTCAGGACTCCTGGGTGGCCACGGAATGTCGCCTCCCCCAGAAATCAGCTTTGCTGGGAACACCTCTTTAACGACCGACAGGAACTTATTAGAGGTGTTACAAGTGGCTCCTTCTTGCTGGAACCACGTATTCCGGTTGTAACCAGTAAATTCGTGTGGCTGTGTATCAGAAACTCTCGTAACATTCTCAATCTCAGTAGAGTTAAGTGACCACACTACCGTGAAAATTCGTAGTGCGCTCATGAAATTTTGACTTATTTTTATAGAGATATCTGAGGCTTCGGATGCACATCCATAAACCGAAAACATTGCATGACTTAAAGGCAAGGATAAAAGAACAGATTACAGCAATCTTTTGGTCTTTATGGCGAAGAGTATTCGAAAATGTCCATGATGACGATGATGAATGCCGATGTCGCGATACTGTTCATTTAAATTATATTATTTTTTTAAAGTAAATTCCAATGTGTTGGCTTACTCGGATATAAATTATTTTTCAATAACTCATATTGTTTTTATTCTATCTATTTTTTAATGTTAACAAATTTATGGCCCATCTTTTTATCCTTCTTCTGCTATCTTTTTATTGCTAGATTCATAAAGCTCAAAACTGTACTATTTTTCATTAGTACTATCAACAAATTATTAGCTACATATTCGTAACATAAATTATATACATATAATAATATAAATGATAGAAATAAATAAAACTTATGCGATATTACTTAGGATAGTCATTTCTTCCATGTCAGCTCTGGTCGGGCGATAGAAGAATTTGCTTACATGATGTGAAAACTCTAAACCAATTGCTGGTGCGGGCGCTGCTGACTGAACGGATGAACGATTGTATACAGAAGCTTAACAATATATAATAATACGGCTGCTAGTACATAACGGCGTACAGTTCAAAACAAAAGTTTTTATACATTAATTATATTAAAATTAAAAATCATAGATATAAGTAATTCAAAAATTTAAATTTAAATCGTAAAATAATTAAATGAATGCTACAGAGATAGTGCAAAATACAGGGAGTGTGTGCCTACAGAAGAATATAAAACGAAATAAATTCATGGTTAGTAATATAACCAAATATACTATATGACGCATGATGTTTGGCACTACCATGGCAAATCTGCCAGTTAAGGTGATTGTATCAAATCCTCTCTGTTAGGAGAACAGTAATTTTTTTATAGAATAAGGGTGACAAGCGAGCACACATCCCACCTGATGGTAAATGGATACTGTGGCCCATTGACATCTACATCTATCTTCGAATAAGAATCAAAATGCAGACACGTCTACCCCTGAGGAGTAAGATGGAATGCCTCGTATGTAGTAAAAAGGGTCTCCGTTTCTCTACACTCACCATATGAAACAGCAGCATTAAGCTGCTATTTTACACTGATATTTTGTGAGAATGTGGTTCTTCCCCGGTTGAGCCGACCCATTCGTGCTACAATCATAATATAGCTGCAACATGGCTCTACCACATATAATCAGCATGATCGCATTATCGCCAGTGACTCTACCAGTATGATAATGTGTGACCCCACCAGCATGTGTAATTCACAACCGGGCGTATGAGCAAACTTAGTCACTTAGCAAGCTATGGAGAGGGATTTCTTAAAATTCTATATATTATAAAATATGTAATAAGAATATGCACAAAAAAACAAGGGTAATTAACAAAAACTAATGGATCAGTAGGATGATGTGGCAATGGAATAGTCATCTAGCTTGAAGAGCTGATAACCAATGATGACAGCAACCGCCACTGGTAAGAGCAGTGTTGGGTGACCCCATATTAGATGGAGTATAAGCTGTTGAAACATAAATGGTTGGTGTATGCGGGAGGCTTAGGACAGTGATTTATAGCAGGACAATACCTGCAATAAATTTAGCAGTGGACTTGTGATATGCTGTAATGATGCTGATGAAAGGAGCCAATGTCCAACTGTGCTCTGTTTCTAAGCTAATGGATAAGGAAATTCCATTCATGAAGAACAGGGTCCAGTTTATGAGTTCTGATATTTCTACTAACCAATGATAAAAAATGTACATTTTAAACTTACTTCACATTATCTATGCCATACTTTTGTTGATTTATTATTTCTATTGAGAGATTTTCTGTAATTCTGAAACAAAAAGTTGTTAACATTGAGATCCTTATACATTTATAATTTATCAGAATGTTTTTTGATTAGATGTCTACATAAAATAAATCTCACCTCTGATCTTTCCTTGGAAGAGGAGAGAAAAGCAAGATGTCACATAGAACATACACCAGTTGAGTGAACTTTGACAAATCTTTGCCATTTATTTGCCTGACTAATAAGAATAATGGGGTGTTTTTAAAGGGACCATACTCAATTATTTTATTATAAAATGATAGAACTACATTGTTATATACAGGTTTACACAATACAGAATCATCTGTAATTATGTTCACAAATTCTTCTATACATAATGAATATTGATTGTTAGATTTTAGCTCTTCAATCTCTTTCCACATCTTGTTTAAAAAAATTGAGATTTCAAATTCTGTGTTGCGTTCTAATAGTGTAGGAAGAACTTGTTTCATTATTTTCAGTATCCATATCAAGCAACCATATCCACCACATTCTATTGCATTGTTAATAAAGTTTAGAAATTCCTTAGCAACTGCGTAAATTGCTGTTTTATTTATTTTTATCAAATAATACAAAATTTCACAGTATTTTTCATATAAAATATTTTTTAGCCTACCAGTTGTTTCATGAGAGCTTGACTTTTGCAAACCTAGCAGTTTTGAAAGGCTCAAAAACTTATTCAAATTTAGTATTTCATGTTTATGGTAGTTAATCATCAATGGACTAGTTAACAATGCAGTAACAGTATGCACAGCCAATATTTTTGTTTCTAAAGCAACATATATATCTTCAAGCATAAATATACATGATTTATATACTTGTAACACAGTCTCTATTGCGTTGCAGTCACTTAATGTAGTAACCATAGCTTTTAATCCTGGAAAGAGTGCATTTATCTCTTCCATACTTAGACATTGATCACTTCGTAATAGACATATCAAATACTCTAATAGAGTCTTATAAGCTGTTGCAGTAACCATATTTATATTTTCCACAGCTGGATTATTATTTTTTGACGTTCTACTGAAAATGTTTGTTAATGATATAACATTATTTAAACATTGAATTTTATCAGCAAATTGTCTCTGATTGACATCTTGTATATTCATAATCATTTTATTTATAAGAGTTAATAGCTCAGTAACTTCAATAGGGTGTGTTTCAATATAGAAAAGACCAAAGTCAATGCTTTTTTCCATAGTGCTCATTAACATGAACAATAATTGAATATCATCACCCTGTATCAAATTATTTTCTTTTAAATACATAATTAGTGGGTTGCTGTTTCTGCTTTCTTCCAGATAAGAATCAAATTGGAAATAAGAAAACAAGTTTAAGTACTCTTTCCAATTGAACCCTCGACAACAATTGCCGACTAAATGTGAGACATTCACATATATTGCTTTACGTATGAGTATATTGTTGCATGGTATTTTTAAAATGCTTAGGATGATTTCAGAAACATTTGCTTGATCATAACTGCTCAATAAATCTTTACGGACACTTGCCAATACTTCACTTATATGAAAGAATGGAACAGGGGACCATTTAATCTGAGGCATTGTTTTTAGAATACACATTAGTGCTTTCAGATCGGAAAATGTGACACATAATTTGCTTTTAAGCACATTGTACTCTGTACATTGGTCAAATAAGTATGTATCATTTAAAGCTTCTAGGAGCAGCAATGCTTCGGTCTCGGCATTGATTTTAATCTTTAGCCTATATTCAATACATTTGAAGCGCACTTGAGTGTTATCATGTTTCAAACCAATGTAAAATACACAATTTAACCAGGATCTTTCCATGTCTTTCAAAGTATCTAGGAGCCGCAAGGATGGAAGAATAATATTGCTTTGTTTTTCTTCTAAACTGTCTAACACTATAAAGTAATTATCCCACATTTTCTTTAACTGTTTCTCATTTTTGTGTTCCCATTTAAATATTATGTCATTTTGTGATTCAATGTAGACACCCCTTTTGCATGATATTAAATAATCTAAAGCCCTTTTAGCTAAATAAATAGATATCCTTCTATTTTTTGCCTCTGACATGCCCTCCAGAATTATTTCCCAAAATTTACTTTGAAATACCACATTTGACTCTAAAACAATGTTTTTATCATCTGTAATGGGCAGGTAGTAATCTGAGAGGCTACTCAATGTTTTAAGACATACTTCACTTTTGTCTTTAAGTTGCATGATGCACTTCCAAATGCTATCCAAAATACTATAACCGTAAACTCCCTTAAAAAATAAAGGAACTATACAAGTTAAAAAATAGCTTTTAAAATTTTCTTGCGTACTTAATAGTATATTTTCTAACGGAATGTCTAAAAACGGCATTGAAAGAATCTGACCATTATTTACAACTGCTTCTAAAATACTACCGCAAATCTTTAAATGCAGCAATGCTTTCGAAAATTGATTCTCTTGAGTGTTCGTTAAACTTATATGAAGGTCCATTGGCAGTTCCAAGTTGCATAATAGTTGCTGCACTAAGTGCTCTGATTTTGGTACCAAACTTCTTGGGTTAAGCGACAGCACAATTTTGACAATTTTACATATATTATCCACGTTATCTTCGTGAAGATTAATAACTAATTTACTTACAAAAAGGTATTCTTTATCATTATCACACTCTGAATCTTCTTGCAAATTTATAAGATGCTTATACTGCAATAGGTGTATGGCATTTTTTAGATGTTTGTCCGTAAAATTAGATCGTTCCATTATTGTGGTTAACCGGCAGTCTATAACTTCTTCATCTAGGTCAAGTAAATCCATAAAGGATATTAATTCGTCACGACAAAACATTTTGTTTTTTATTTAGACTGCCATAAAATTAAAAATTAATATAAATTTAAAGTCGGACTGATTCTCCGTGTGTTTTTGTTTATGTACTTACTTACTTATATTAGGGATGTTCGATGATCATCGATGTTCGATATTGATCGATGTTAAAAATTAATACATCGATGTTTCAGCATCGATGTTGCCACATGTCAAACATCGATGTCAATGAACCCATAATCGATTATCGCAAGGCCATTTTCAAAAGCTGGCTCAACTCTTTATCAACAGAGAAACAGATTTTAAGGTACTTCTTAATCAAAATTTACCTTCAGTCGATCAGCAAAAAATATTGGACTGAATAACAAATGAACTAGACATTAATTAACTTATTCCAATTTTTTAAATAACTGTTATTCTAAGTACATCGTTTATTAATTTCTTTTATTTCATTAATAATAAACCATGTATAGTTGCCGACACGAGTGGTGAGCACAGATAAACTGTGGTGGGAGGTAGGTACACTGTCGGGCAAAATTATTGGATACCTTTATTATTTCAATTCGTAATTTAATATTTTCGGCGACTTTTATGATAATGTTTACTCGAACACATCAACTTTTACTTTGATACAGTAATGTTGTAGATATTCATGTCCGTAATTTTATTATCTACTATAAAGTATTTAATGTATACCTGGTGGTTAGAATTGATTATTTTATTAAGAAGAAGGAAGAGGTGATATGCCTTCCATAAAATCTGTCTTAGTCGCCTCAGCAATCTGTTTATATACGTCTATGATGTTTTTCGCAGTACCTAATTTTTTCATGTAACTAAACACTGAATAGAAAATTTGTCGGGATTGTCTATTTAACACCGAATTCTTCCTTCTCTGCATATTTAGACCAAAATCTGAACACTCAAATTATAACAACAAAAATAAATTAAAAACAAGAAATAACAAAAACAATTAATAACAAGGAATACACAAACACAATTAACAACGAGCTGACAAAGACAATTAACAAAAATAAACTTATTAAAGAAGTTATCATTAAAATTATTGCTCTGAAGTGTACTGAAGCCGAATGATACGTTCGAAACCAATAGACGATGAGAATCGACTAATGAACCAATCACGTTGAACGTCAGCGTGGTCAGCGTCGTATCGACCAATAAAAAGTGTGCTCACGACTTATGTCGGCATTTATACAACATGTTTATTTCTTTATTCATCTAATTCTAACTTATTAAATACATGTGCAAAAAACATCGATGTTTATGCTACTCAAAACTATATAATATAAGTTAGGGATGATCGATGTTTCTGTAACATCGAGCATCCCTAACTTATATCTTTTTTTAATAATTGGCTTTACGGCTTTGGGTTCTAGCCCTTCTGAGCCAATCATTTCTTTCAGACATACATAGTGAGGGATCTTTTTCATGCTTTGATTGGCTGTAATGTAAATCTGTCCTTGCTTGCGCATGCCCAATGAACAGCCATGCGTGATGTGCGGGGTACTCACAGTAATGTATGCTCTAAGTTTCTTTCTGAATCTTCATTTTTATATTTTTTGAGAATTTGGGAGATTTTGACGACAGCTCAACACAGCGGATAGTTAATGACGACAGCCACTCAAGTTCATAAGGCGCCCAAGCGATCCAAATAACTTGAGTTTTATATCAACATCGAAACACTTGTTTCGTCGCTTTCTCTAGTAGTTTACACACGCGACACTTATTCACAAAATCGCATCACTTTTAAGAATCAAAACCCACTTCAAAATATTATTTAGGCGATAAATCAGGAGCAGCAATCCGTCAACGGCTAAGTTCTCGCAAAAATTCCTAGGCATGTGTCGGATATATCAAAACCATGGAGGTTAGAGAGTAGGAAAACGATCGCTACGTATTAAAGCATAGCCCGCCTGTCCCTGAACTGCCGTCGGTAAGTAGTATCTGCAAATTTAGCTGTTTATGAGTACAAGTAGATGAAGTTAGTTGAATAATGTACAAATTTTCTTCGCCGCTTTGGTGAGAAAATAATCGTGCTCCGTAATTTTTTATTTTTTGACAAAAGGAAACATTATAAAATGGTGAAATATTGTATTCTGCGTGGATGTGCAAGTGGTTTAGCAACTGATCGGAAAAATAGAATGAAAATGACTTTTATTGGGACAACTTAGCGATCTAAGCGCTTCATTTATTTTGTCTATATTTCTGGGACACTGTTTTCTACAGCGATCGTCCTTCTCTCTAACCTCCATGATCAAAAATATGGTCAGATGCTAAACCACTTGCACATCCACGCACCATACAATATTTCACCATTCTATAATGTTTCCTTTTGTCAAAAATTAAAAAATTACAGAGCACGATTATTTTCTCACCAATTCCGAGAAGATAATTTGTACATTATTCAACTAACTTCATCTACTTTTACTCATAAACAGCTAACTTCACAGATACTACTTACCGACGGCAGTACTCTTGTGCCTGCTCGGTCATTTTAACCCTTAAAGTAGCACGATACTTTTAGTAAATGAAAACAACTAAAATAGTTTTAATGGTTTATTAGGCGTTTAAAAGAAGTTAAAAAAATACCAAAAAATTTGGAGGGTTTAATTTTTGGAAAAACCTATGTATAATATACTATACATTGCCACACTTGAAAATAATCTGCGATTATCAATACACTTACTATACATTATACTTTATTATTGCTTCATGTGGTACGGCAAGAAACAGTTCCTACCCTTAACATAGCATAGATGTACATTGCATTTTGTGCACATTGTACTTGCTTGACCTTCCTCTACAATATTTACAGCGTTGATAACCGGTTAACTGAGGCCAATGATCAAATTTGGCATACCGCACATCGTCAAGAGGCCTCTCGGCCATCGCTTTCTTAATCTTACTTTTTTCGGATACAGATACAATGTCTTTTACAGGCAAAATTCTATTAAGTTTCAGAAGTCCGGCATAAATTTCGTAACGAAAGTCTTTTAGACAATCTTGTTTCCTCTTTTTATTTATTTGGTCGTCGTGTCTACGACGTAATAGCCATGCATTGTTTATGCGAATGTCCAACAACTGAGAAAAAATGTTCATATACCATCTGTAAGATTTTATACCAGTGCGATATTTAATGCTATTAACATATCCGCCAAGTCCACACCTCCCATACGGCGGTTATAATGCTTGAAGATTTGAGGAAACTATGTTTACGCGTCCTTTCGACTCCTTGCTGAAAAGTTTGATATTCTCAAGACGAAAAGGGTCAACTTCACCACACTCAATTTATTTTAGTTGCACATCACTTGAATCAAGGCCCCTCTTCCTTTCTTTTGTAGCGATTTACGATAAATCATTTTAGATTCTGCATCTTTCAACCTATTTTTTCTAACAGTCCCCAAACTAAATATACCGTAATTTTCTCGTGAAATATATACTAATTCTAAAGAAGTAAAATAGTTATCAAAATATATGACACTACGTGCCTGTTTTTTTATAGTTTTGCATAAAGCCAAAATTATTTTTCCTCCAACACACAAAGACTCTTCTTCATTGGTAAATATCACACCTGTAAACGTATCACCACCAGCATAAATAAGAAAATCTTTGATAATTTATTTATAACACACACAAACACACACACACACACACACACACACACACACACACAAACAGCCGCCGCACGACACACACAACACTCACACACACACACACACACACACACACACACACACACACACACACACACACACACATACACACACACATACACACACACTCACACACACACACACACACACACACACAGACACACATACACACACCATAAATGATAGTCAATACTAGGAAGTTGATAATTGATAGTTTACTGATAGAACCAACTAAATCTAATTTAAGGATAGATGGGAAATGATACTGCGAGCACCCGAGACCGGTATTGCTGGGCTCAATTAGCGCACTGACTCAATATGCATTATTGTAGCGTAATAGTGTAAACTGCCGACGCCACAAAAACGTACGTGCTGCAGCCCGTACATGCTCCCGGGCTGAAAGCAGCAGCTAAAAGTGTATTTAGTCACTCGTGTCCATGATAGTAAACACCGATTGAAGCACCAGTGAGGTGCCACGGTTTTGTTTTTGTTTACGCGAGTTCTTAAATTTTTTATTTAATTCGCTAGTAATGTCACCACTGTTACACTGCACTGCAAATGTTTGCAATTTTACATCTACAAATTGCACTCCACTATTACACTGCACTTCACTACACTCATTTTGTACGCGATCACAAACTGCCAGACTCCGCGCGCGCCGCACGCGCTGCCACACGTAGAATCCTCCGAATACTCCAGCCGTTATAATCACCAGGTAAAGAACGATGTAATGGTGAATGAAGAGAAAAAGATGAATATGTATTACAAACTTTGAAATGAGTATACACTGTTGTTTCGTCAACATTAGGTTTATCCTGTAATAAAGCATTGAAGCTAGCGTAGTTATGTTTTCTTGCTACACTTATTATAATAAATACCTTGATACATAAGTCAACGCAAAAACAAGACAATTTTTCATTTATTTTTTGACTTTGACACCCATCCACTGCACAGGTACGTGGTTTCGGCAAAGCGCGGGAAACGGGTGTGGTTCATGCGCTCAATATCTCTCAATCTCAGCGCTCAAAATCGCTCAATATCGGTTGTATCGTGGGCGATACGCAGAGCGGTAGGCATATAACGCATGGCCTAGAGCGAGTGACGGAGGCCTTGTCCGGCGTCACTCAATTGAATAGCCGTAACTCGATCTTCGCATAACAACTTAAAGTAGCATTTATTATAACACAAATAAAGTAGATATTAAGTTTACTTGTTGCAATGAAAATATTTTTGCAGGTGTTAATGATTGTTCTACAGCTTCAAAGTCCTTTATACTTCTCACACAACTCTGTCATTGATAATATGATAAATAGGTTGTTTGTT